TCTTTTTATTTTACAGGCTGCAGCAGAATGAATGCTAATAAAAAAAATAATAGCACAAACCACAAAACCCCAAAAATCCCTTTACCTTGCAGCACATGAGCTCAAAAATATAATTCTGACACTAGGGGTCAGTATTAAAACATATTACATCTACACAATACTGCCAGCAGCATTCTATTGTTGATTTCCTCCTTTGAAAAAAACCAACTTATGTCATAAAGAACTATAAAACCATAAAAAAGACAAATCCTAGAGTAGATTACCATCTATTTATGTTATTAAATGTAGTTCTCGTGCTAGAAATTTGTGTTCCTGTTCTCATAAATTAACACATATATTCATGCAAATGTATTACCTTACGTAATATCGATGCTTCAATATTTATGTGAATTAGGTTCCATCTACAGTCTTGAAAGAGAAAAGCTATTATTAAGTTTTCCATTTTTTAATAGGGAAGATTACTACCTAATGGTATTACTACCTAATGGTAGTAATCACTACTTCCTAATAATAACAACAATATTTTGAATGTAAGAACACTGGACGTTCTTTAAATTCATTCCTTGACAGTCATACCCATCTTACAAACAGTAAAAAGTCTGTTGTGGGTACTGAAAATCTCAGTTTAAAAAGGTGAGAGACTCTCACTACAGGTGAGCATTATCCACATGGAACAGACTGAGGATGTATTTTGAGTCATTAGATCAGTGTATGAATTTCAGTTTGGAATAGATACAACGTCCACCGAAGTCAAGGGAACAACTTGCTTTCTCCTCGCTGGGCACTGTCCATAACCAAAAAGTTTCCAACCCATCTTCCTATCCCAAGCTACTCCCAGATCTTGACAATCTTGATGCATTTGAGAAAGCATACATTCAGATGCCTGTAACTGCTTATATGGACATAATTGTGAATGTAAATAGATCCATTGATTCCTGTGAAGAATTTAAGAATTTAAAAAACATAAAACTTGCTGATTAACTGGCTGAGCTTGCTAAATGTTGGGATGATACTTTGCTATCTTAAATCCAGATATAATACAGAAATATGTCAAATGACACTAATCATAAACCCCAGGAGAAATATTCTGCCATATGATAAGTCTGTCATGTACCACAAATTCCTGCAGCAATTGGTACAGATGAAGAAAAACCATCCATTTCCTTCTTCCCCCAGACCAAACTCTAACTGAATGCTATAAATTTTGCACTTAAAATAAACAATTTAGGACAAATATTATTGAGGCTGTTAATTAGTTTTCACATCCAGTACCCAGTTCTAAATTCCAGAGCATATGTTTTTCTTTAGTGGCAAATCCATTAGGTGCCCAGAATTCAGACACTGCCAGATTTATGAAGGCAGGTATTAGAAATGGCATTTGTGCTACAACAATACTGAAGAAAAGAGCTGGTCAAATTAATGTCTGACTAACTGGTATGTTTGAGATCTTACTTCTACATGCTACTTCTAACTAACATCATATTCATATTTAACAGAATTAGCTTACCCTAAACACATGGAAAGCAAAAATAATTGATTATACCTTAAATGGGAAAAAATAGGCAGAGGCCGAGATAAGACATTTGTAGCAGGGTTAGATGTGTGGCACACAATCACTTATTTTCCTGCCCAATAGATGACGCTGCTGTTTCTTTGTTCCCGTGTAATTGCTGGATTTGTGCATCACATCCTCACTGAACTGACTGTGCCCACATCGCCCTATGCTTGGACACAGCAGAAACAGGTTTCATGGATTCTTAAAATGGCATTTTGTTGTACAAATAAGCGTACACAGTTTTCAATAAAGCAAGTTAATGTTCTGGATTAAAAGATGGGATGGAAAAAATGGATGCAAATACCCGGTTGAACATCATTCTCTTTTTTTCCAGAAGCAGACCACAGAAACAAATTCTGACATATATATACCATGGATGACCTCGGAACTATATACACATAGGGACATAACATGTTAGAGTAAGTACATGGGATTTTAAACTGCAGTATACTTTGCAAATTTATTTAGCCTAATTATTAACAAGTTTACAGAGAAGTTATTACCAGTATAGAGCAGCATTAAAACTCTGTCCTTACGTTATGATAAAATTCTTATGAAAGCGTCATCTGGGGGAATCAGTTGGTAAACTAATGAGGCATTTGACCACTGTGGTTTTTTCTATATGCTACTGAAGTATGACACAACAACAGCTCTGCAGCAAAAAGTTAAATGCTGAAATATTTTAGAAGTTATTTATAATAATTGTTATGTGTTCTGGTAGAGATCATATTGAAAATCCATGTTTTCCAGCAAACCTGAAAACTCAAACCACTTGTATGGGACTCGTGTTCTCTTCTGCTCTAGATCTTTGGTTAAAATACTCTGGTAGGCAGAGTAATTCATTAATTTATTTATTTTTGCCAAATTGTGGTTGCTGGGGGACTTGTGTGAAATGACAAGCTGGTCTCTGTCCCGTTCATCGTGAACAGGTGTTCTAATTACCAAATCTCCACCATATTTGACACCTTTATTAGCTGTCTCAGTTAAGAAACAAAGGATTGATTGGGCAGGGGTAGAGAACTAGCCTTTCATTGCTGTGGGGAAGCACCTAAAGGTCAAGGTTAATATACATTAGTGGGGGGTAGTATTGCCCATTACCTATGCTGTTCTTGTGCCATTAATCAATGGAAGACTTTATCTTTATGAGCTAGCTATTGTGGGAGCCTTAATTACACACAATTTGTTTTAAATTGTATTTTTTTCCATATTATATGAAAAGCAGGCTACACTTCTACTTGAGGAAATATTCCTAACAAGAACAACAAATCTCCAGCAAAAATAGTGATGTCTTGTACTCAGTTTATATTCTGAAATATATACTGTACAAAATGAAAGGGCAAGGTACACATCCTTCAGTCAATGTAATACATACAAAAATGCTCATGAAATGAAATATGGCAGAACACATGTATAAGAGTTCAACAAGATTGAATTTTTGACTAGTCAGTAAAAAGTGAAAGCACTTACAGTAAATAGTCTTCCCCATTTCTGTGGCCATTATGTTCTTGACACATAAGGTCTACCTGCTACTACTACCTTTATGATTTAATATTCTTGGAGGGTTTATAACAAGAATCTAATACATAACCAATAAAAGGGTGCTAGTCTCATTAGTCTCATTTGGCATCAGAATATTGTCAACATAATTGCACAGCAAAGTCACATTATTATAAAAGTGTATCAGCATCTTCATTATATAGACACTTATTTTCAGTGGCGTACAAACACATAAAACACTCTAGAATGAAATATGATTATGGTGACTCAATCTGGAATTAATTTTCTCCAAACTATTTTTATTTCCTATTACGTGTATATAAAATAAATACGGGCCAGATAGTCAGTCAGTGAGCTGGAACTATACCAATCTGTATCAGCTAAGGGTTCAACACTATATATTTGCCTGCAGATCCTAGTCACACTTATACCCTTCTATGACTTATTAATGGTTTCGATTTAGGAATGAAGCTTTGAAGTAATTATATAATCACATGGCATTCATCCAATATACATATTTAATGTAAATTATTGCTTCCCGATTTTCACAGAAGACATGTGATTAGATTATCTGGTGCTTCCATATTGTACTTGAAGCTGGATTGCAAAGAGAGAGAAGTATATGTGAGCCACCTTTACAATTTCCTGACTCTGCCCAGCAAGAAACAAATATGGACTTCATTATAATGCAGAGGAACAGAAACAGCTATTTCCCTGCCTGAGGTCTCAGAGAATTGTTCCAGCAGTTGAGCTAAACAATGTCCTGACTATCTCCTTGGCAAAAGAAATGGAATGAGTTGGCATAAGCTGCTATACCAACTCAAAAATCCCTTTTCACAATGTGAAACCTCAAAGGGCTGCACTACGAAAAACAGCTGTAGCAGAGCTGAAAGTTTGACCCCTAGACTCCAGTACTGTGCTCATTTTATGTGTGTATGACTCCCACTGACACCAACTGAAGAGTCCAGCACATGAGGAGAGCAGAGTATCAGACAAAAAAAAAAATCTACTATGTGAATCTGAGAAGAGAGTATTATTCTCTTGCATCAAATTATGGCTCCATCTGGTAACATTAAGTGAATACTGGTGACTATTAGAGATGAATCAATAAATTGAAACAAATAATTTATTTTGTGAGTTATTTTATTTTTTCACTTCAAAGAATGTCTGTGAATTGATTACAACTTTCTTAAATATATTCCAGGAAACTTCTAAGGAATTTTATTTTATGGTTTGTAAGTTACATGTGATTGCTCGCATACGTCACACACTGCTCTGTTTCTTTTCCCTGAACAGGATTTTTAATAGAGTTGGGATAACAAAACTCTCCAACTGACAGTGGAATTTAGTTGATGCAATTGTTTGGGAACATATAGTCAGCTAACCATCCTTTGTTAGTTATTTTGGATACTGAAGTTACCTTTCTTTTCTTTCAGAGAATGCACTAGAAGCATTCTCCATTACTTGGGAAACAACAACAAAAAAGAAAGACCAAGACAATGCCAATATTCAGAAGATCTGAGAGCTATCTCCATCAAAGACTGGATTTAGATCAGTCAAAAAAGTTGTATGAACCATAAAATTTTAAACTATCTTAATGATTTGGAATTTAAAAAAAAATTCCACATCAAATGCTTTAGATTATAAGGCATATTTTGCTCATATGTTCTCTTCAAAACATGATTTATATCTCTGCTTTCATTACATCTGCTTCATACCTTTCCTTGATGAAGCAAACGTTAGTAGAGACAGCATAACTCTTGTAACACTGATGAGAACCAACCTATTCCAGATGACTCATAAGAACCAAAAAGCACCTTACAGTCAAATTCAAACAGACCTGCCTATCCCGGGATAAGGACAAGACAAGGCATTTTTAAAAATCAAAATATTATCACTTGTGTTCAGATTACTGTTTTAAATAATAATTCAATTATTGCAGACTCACCTTGCATTACTGTGACTGGCTTCTGTCAAACTAGCTAATGCTGTCACTGCAGCTTCTTTTACCTCTTCATTATCACTACTTAGCAACTGTACCAGCTGGGGAATCCCTTTGAAAAAAATAATTGTATATATGAACCTTTAAGTAAACCATGGCAGTCTCCTAATAAAAGAAAAAGCACAAATTCTCAGCTCATCCTTTCCCACCTTACTTACCCTGGAGTCCAAGCGCACATTTGCTCTCTACATTCTTACACATGGCAGAAATTGCTTGGGAAGCAGCAACTTTAACTTCATCATGGCCAGTTTTCAAAAGGTTTAGGAGACATTTCTCAACCTCTTCCTCATTTAAGATTTTTCTGATTTCAGCTTTAAACAAGAAATAACAATAGCATTAATCAGCATTTGTTTTCCAGATCAGTGAAAGGACATGAATTTGATTCCATATAGTTGCTCGAAATATTTGGTAACAGGGGCATCGGCCGTTTAGAAATGTACACAAAGGACCGGAGCCAAATCCTATTATAGAATATCCTGAGTTGGAAGGGACCCACAAGGATCACTGAAGTCCAACTCATGTATTAGACTTCAGTGAACTCTGAATCAAGCCCAAACGATGGCTATTAAATACAGCTTCAAGCATACACAGCCCAACAGAAGGCAAAGTTTGTTCTCTAAAAGACTTTAAAACCGCAGAATGTATACAGGCTTGATGGAAATAGCTTTTCCAATTCAACAGATCATACTTAGTCAGGATCATGCTTAACTTCAGTTTATGCTAACAAAGTCCAAATGCATAAAATTGAAGAACATACTAGTAAATGTACAATTGAACTTGGTGGAGTATCGGTTACCATACTGCAAAAGCCAACATACTGATACAAAGCCAAAAAAAGGCAAGAGGAGTTACAAAGAAAATTTTAAATTCTGCACAGCTTGTAGTTCTTCATCAACGCACAATTTGCAGAGAATTTCAATTTTGTAGTTTGGCCTGGTGACACAGGGCTCCCTGCTGACCTACTCTGCGATGACTGGCAGCAGCTGGGAAGGACATAGATGTTCCCTTCCTCTACACAAGTAACAACACACAGCTTCGACAAAGTATTGACAGACATCTGTATGTAGATACTAACAAACTAATAAACTCCCTCATCCCAAAATGGATGAGATCAGAAATCCAGGTGTTTGTTAGAAAGAGCCCTGAGTGAAACTTTCTTATCCAGAAAGGCACTGGACACCACAGAAGCTGTACAGTGATGAGGGTCAATAAACATTTAACCATATGCATAATTTAAAGCAGATTAATTACATGCTTGAAGTTCTATCTCAATGGTAGAATTTTTGAATGTATTAAAAAAATTCATGAACTGAGAAGTCAGTGGGACTTCAACACATGTAGAAATTTTACCAATGCTTACTACTGCTCTCAGGGATCTCTCCCTTGTTTGGACTGTCATCCTCCAAATAAAAAAAATTTAAAAGGAAAGGAAAATATCATAAGTATTCTTTTAGATAAATCTGAATCTATAGTGAATAACGGTAAACAAATACAAGTCCACAAAGTCAATGAAAAGGGAATTTGACTGAAAATCTAGTTACAGCAGAAATGACTCAATGCACATAGGTGAGATGGCTACAGTTGCTTTCTTCTCTCTAGCTCAATTTTAAACATTTTTAGAATCATCACTTACACAAATGAAACCACAAAGCAAAGATGCAACAAATAAAACAGAGAGGATTTTAAGTGTCAGCAGAACCTTGGCCACAACCTTGATGCATATTGGCCAGCTCTCAAGAGAAGGCCTTAATTGGGATTAGAGACCATTTTGAGAAGTTATCAAGTATGCCGCTGGCCTGTTGCTTAACAAAGTAGTCCATAATCCCTAATAATGATCTCTAGAGGTTCTTCATGACTCAGTAATTTAGTTTTTGTACAGCAAGTTACTTATTACTATTCAAATTTTCTTTAAAATTATTCTTGCTTTTAAAGGCAGCTATAATGATGAGTGTTTCATTTTAAAGATAATTTATGCCTATATGAAATAATAATATGAATAATTAATTTGGATGAGTGAAAATAGTGATTTAAAATTTTTTAAACAGAAAAATATTTTTTTGATAATGTGGAAAAACAGATTTTGAATTTGAACTTATGGTAAAGAGTATCCACATATATTTAGGTAGCTAGACCGATGAAAATTATTAATATTTTAACAATCCAGGCACCTATTCTATATAAGGGATGAATATTTTCTGATAATCCTCTCTGTTTGTATGAATTGTTCCTTTGTTTCCATTGCTATAGAAAAGAAAGAATGCACAATTGAAAAGCATCCTTTCTACTGAAGTACTTCTCATGTGAGTGCCAACACCATTTTTACAGTGATGACTTTCTTAACCCCTAAGTGATTTGAATACATTGATTTAACATGAAACAAAATACTCAAGCACACACAACTAAGAGTTTGGAGCACTAACAGTTCTGTCCAGTTTTTCATGCATTGACCCCATTGTGAGATAACCTTTGTTTTTCAATATATTTTCCTATTTGCCTCAAAATCATGATCAGAATTCTACTGATCGCCTATTCAGGTCACTGTCACCACTTTATGGAATTATTTATACCAATTTCAAATGAAAAAAGAAGTTCATGTTAAATAGTACCACAAGCTCTCATTTATCTTGAGTTGAGATAACCCAGATAAATGAAAATCTGTATTATGAAATGCATATGGTAAGCAGGCTACAGAGCATGTTTAGTGTGCTCCCTTTTGAAAGGATTTGCACTGAGATACAGAGAAAGAACGGGGAGAGGTTCAAACCAGAAGTTTGGCAGAGTGAGGCCAAGCCCAGGTGAGCATGATCATCACTTTCTCCATACATACTCTATAGCATTTTGTTGTTGCTGGTGTGTCTGGCATTGACAGGGGAAATCAGGCCCTCCTTAATCAACAGTCCAGATAATCCACTCACAAACATTCAATAATTTATAGCATTAAATTATATTTTGCCTTCTGAAATGACTGCATTATTTGCTGGGCAAGGAGGGAATCACAGTATAATTCACCACTATAATTCTGAGCATACAAAATAAAATCATCAATAAATTAATATATTAAATTCAAAATTATGTACTGAACAAAAAAAATTTTTAGGGGCAAAGGCATAATGATTATGTATAGAAATGTGATCAATTTTAATGTACTTAAACAGAGCAGCAGCCTAAAGATGCTCTTTCAAATTGAATATCATGTTTGTACCACGTAATTTATTCTGATACTGAGAATAGCTCTTAAGGGATAAATCTATCTTATAACACCACCATGAGTCCCTTTGCAAAGGGCTGAAAGGGACATAAACCAAAACTGTTTGCTATGATCACATCTATCAGGAAAAAAAACCATCAAAATTAAATTCCATCTGTCAACAATAATAATTTCAAAACCAGACACTGCTGTATACTCAGCTTCCAGGATTAAAAAACCAGCTCGATACATGTTCTGTCATTCCAGAAGGAACTTTTTCATTCCAGTGAAAAGCAGTACTCTTTTTTCCCCATGTATGCAGGAAATGTTGGTAAATTATCAAACCTGAAGAATGTCAGCTACTGTATGGCTATGGCAAATTTAATGGAAAAGTCACTACAGAACTTAGAGTTGTGTTGTATTATTTTGGATTCACTTCAAGGCAAGTACTAGTACTGTACATGTTAGTGTTGCAGTTTGGATAGGCTGTTTAGTATGTTTACAACCAGAATCCAATCAAACAAACAAGGACTGCAAATATTTCTGTTTTCTTTTTGCACCTGGGCTATTTCTTGTAATGGCCTCAATGCCACTTTTCTTCCCTCTGGAAGACTGACAGTAGCCCTGTGTATCTGGAAAATTCAATGCTTCTGGAGGCCACACTGAGCAGCGAGTTTACCGGATTGTGTTTTCTCCTGCACCAGGACAAGTATCCCTTTGTCTTAACTGGGTGTCACCAAAATTCTACATCTTGAAAGCAGATATTTTAAATGTTCTTTTCATCTATTTTCCCAGCTTGCTGTATCCATACCAACTGTCATAGGCTGAAGAAGAGAGCAAACCTTTATAATGAAACCACATTGACTCCATTTGTAAAGAAGCATGACAAGAAGATGCATCTCCACTGACGGCAACATCCCATGATATAAGATCATAGGCAGTACTGTAATATATTATGTGTAGTTCTTGCCACCGTGCTTTAAAAATGTGTTCAGACATGCTTCTACTAACAGCTGCTAAAATATTAGGCCACAAAAACTGAAAAAAAAGTGTGAAAGAGGAAAAGAAGGCTATGCTTATTTGAAAATAAATATGATAAAGGAGTAAGATGCAGTAGAAAGCAGTAGGAGCAAATATAAATCTGCTTAGCATACACCTTATAAGCCTGTCACAGGACTATAAAAATGATACTGACAGTCCTAAGTAGCATAATAAAATAACAATACAGGAAAATACACAAAAAAAATACTGGCATAAGAAGGTTCCTTCCTATCTTTGATACTTGAACATTAATAAAAACAATCTTCAGTGACTTGCAAAGCTTCCAACAGATAATGATGAAAGCACAGAGAAATCCACAGAATACTAGGAAAGGCAGATTCCACTCTTTTTGTGTATCATTTGGTAAGACAGCATGGGGAGAGAAGAAAGGAAGTCTGAAATATTGTAGAAAGGAGAGATTATTTTACCCATGTATTAAATTAAATAACATATTTTTAAAATACTCATCAGTTAAAGCCATGATTCAAACACAAAGTGCCAGAAATATTAATGAAATATTTAGGCTCTACTGTCACAGTTCTATCATAAGAATCCCTTGACAGAATTAAAATCTTCTATAGACAGAAGTATGTTATTAGTTACATCGTATTTTTTTACACAACACTACTTGGCACATGTTGCAACTCAGAAGCCGATATATGGAAAGAATTTCAAATGTAGCTTGATTAAAAGACCATCCTTGTGGGCAAAAATGATGAGCATGTTCTGCCTAATTCAGAATTCCTTGGTGAATTAAAGAAAAGTACATAAAAAAGAACTATAGGATGAATAATTATAAAAAGATTACAATGAAACTATTTAACTCCCCTGAGAATATTAATCTGCAAGCCATTTGAAAGGTTTTCTTTCAGACCCCTGTTAAAGAAATTTGTATTTGAAATTGCCTGACATTTAGACGAGCAGCTGAATGCCAGATGAAGTCTTAACTGATAGTGGTGAGAAAGTGCCAGCAAAGGTGGCTTAAGATGGCAGTTACCTGGCATCACTAATCAAAAGACAAAGATCATATTTTCAAAGTTCCATTTTTCTTTGAGAACAGCATTTTGCAAGAATATATTACATTTAAAAATAAATTGACGCAAAATCTTAAAGTTTCTCATATATATATATATATATATATATATATATACATATATACATATATATATACATATACATATATATATATATATATATATGTAAAACCTAGCACAAGTGCTATCCTCAACCAGGTAAGACAACCTCATTCTGGACAAAAATTTACTTCATAAACAATTTTATGTCCATAGAGTATTGAAAAGTCACATACAGTCACAAGCTGCTTTGGTAATTGCCTTTGCTGCATTCTTCTGAATATCAGGAACAGTAGAAACTCCTAAAAGTGATAGGAGTTTTTTAAGGCCTCCTGTCTGCTGAATCAGTTGCAGAGTATGCACATCTTCAAGACAATTTCCCAACACAGCAAGAGTTTTGATGTGTAGATCACTCAGTTCCTAATAAAGAAAAAACCCCAAACAAATAACCTTCAAATCAGGATTAAAATATCTTTGGCTTTCAGGTTTGTAGGATAATTGTTATAACTTTCTTTTGGACAGTTTGTTCATACTGCAAAGAACATATTTTCATATTCACATTTTCATCTAATTTATTTGATGATGCCTTGGGATGCAACACAATTTATCAAAACCACTAAAGCCTCCAGAAGTTTCTCATTTACATCAAAGTGGGTTAGACAGGTACTTGTCATGTTAAAATTTCAAAAACTTCACAAATTTCTCTATGCATTATGTCCCATGGTGACACCTGAACTCAAGAAGCACTAAACTGAATATCATAATAACATAAACAATGACATTTCCAAGGTAGAAAATTATGTCTAAGGCCATCGATATCAAAGTAAATTCAGGAAAAAAGGATCAGTGTTCAAACTAGGAACCAGCACCAGAGTTCTATATATAATAAAAAAATTTGAGAAAACATCATATAAAAAGCCATATGGTGAATTTTTCTGATATTTACAACAGTTCGAGAAATGGACAGTAAATGCAAAACAGTATTTATTACTAAGAGCAATAAAGCAATAAAACAAATATAAATACTTTGGTGAATCCCTTTGCTTCCTTTCTTAGTAAGCTAGGTATCCTAGCCTATCGTATTTCTATCATAGTTCACTCCAAGTAAGGAACTCTTCCTTCTTATTTCACTCTTCCATAACATAAGTCATATTTTCTCATTAGTCACACAAACGTTAGTAGCAAGAACGAAAAAACTTTTAAAGCAAGTAAACTGTACATTGGTTTCCAGTATCTTCAGCAGGCAATCTAATCCGTTTTTTTCTCCCAGTATTATCCTGGTTTCTCTGTCTTTGGTAATTACTTCTAAGGTTTGAAGGGCTAACAACTGAATAACTGGGTATTCAGATTCCAGTAGTTCCAGCAACGGTGGAATTACATTCAGTTCACTAACCGCAGCACGGTTTTGAAAATCCTGCAGTAAAATATTCAACAAATAAAGTTAGTGATAGAGAATATAACAATACATCCACTCCTGACTTTACAGAAAGAACACCAAAAGTCTGATTTCAGACATCAAAAAATTAGTCAATACTTCAGAGCTTTCAGTTCTGAAGATTTCTTTCTTTTGAGCTAAAAATCAAACTGAATATAATCAAGCCCCGTGAACCTTAAATTCTAGGAGTTTTTTTCAAGACTGAAGTACACACTACAGAATCTAGTTCTGTCTAAGGAAGTCCATTTACTCTTGGTTTCACCATGTTTGTCTCAACATAAATGTTTCTTTGAGCAAGTTTTTTAAATTTAGTTTCACCATTTTTGTTTACTCAGTGCATGGAAAACAGTTTTTTGCACTCAACTGTGGTTGCCTGGTTATATCTTCCTTTTTTTTTAGTAATTATATTTAATTTAAAATTTCAACTTTAAACAGAGAATGTGCAGCTTAATAAAAAGGCAGCAGTTGATTATATTAAAATAGAAAATAAATAAATAAATTACAATTTGCTTTTAAATAGCTTATTGCACATGTGCAGCATGCAATTATCCTTATCAATATAAGCAAGCACCAGGTGCAGTTATCCAGATATACCCTGCAACAAAGACAGCGAGATAGTAAAAAAGGAGAAAGAGTAGAATGTGATTCTGAATAGACATGCTCTGATGCCCCAAAAGAGATAGAGTTATAAACTGAATTCATTATTGAATTGATTCGCTTAAGCCATGGAAGAGGACTGCCATACAAATGCACCATTCTTTTGCTAAGCAGCATATGGATGACATTAGTGCTGAGTGTGAAAGTAGCCAATAACAAACCTATTCCTCCCAGTATGGAAAGTAGCTGTTGACAGCATCCACCTATCATTAAAAATATGTTCAAAACTGTGCTATGGACCTGCTGGTCAAATCAAGACACAATGCAATTGGTAGTTCTTTAATTTACAGGATTATTCCAACCTTTTGGATGGACAGATTATGACTCTCATTACCACAATTAGCATTTTCCAACTGAGAAAACAAACTCCTATTTAATTTAAAAAATCTAAATCTCATTCTGATTATACTTATACTGCAGCACACCACAGATAATTGCATCAAGTTCAACAGAATTAGAGTCAAATCAGCTATATTCATAACTAATTTAACATTCATGAGATTGAGTGTGATGGTTAAAATACACTGATGGACATTGGGAAGTAAAGGAAACAAGTATTTTAAAATTATTTCCCCCACAGAGGATGTCAGGGGTGGGGTGGGGTGGGGGTTGGGGAGGGAAGTGCCTATCTGCCTTTGTAAGTTAAAGCAACAAACAACAGGAAACTTTACCTGTACCAGAAGGTAAATACATTCAAGTGAATTCTTCTGAACGTCAGGATCAGGGCTACCTAGCAGTCTGATAAGCGGTTCTAATCCACCTTGCTCAAATATTTTTACTTTAGTAGTACATTCAACAGCCATATGTGCTAGACAGAGAGTAGCAAACTCATGGATAACTACATCTTCTATAGGGAAAAAAAACCAAACATTTTGATCAAGTTTTATTCAGCACAGAATATATTCACTAATCCAGTGGTTTAAAATATTATTTGAAGTCAATAAATAATAGCTGTTAATCCTACCTGATGTCTCCATAAACATGTTGCTCCATCCATACAACATAAAACGCTACTCAGTGAGTAAGAGCTACTCCTATAAAAGCATGTACCTCTTTAACATGTAGTAGGACAAATCATAAATTACAGGGAAGATTTTATTAAATTGTCTGTTCAAATGCAATCATAAATTATTTCTCACTGTACTTTAGCACAAGGAATGAATACTGCACAAGGTACCTTCTGGCGCCAGCTGTGATATAAGTGGATTTGTGACATCCAGTTCCCTCAGTAACTTCTTGACATTATCTACAATGAAATAAATACAAATATGAAGTCTCTCATTTGGCAGTGTTGGCTGAGTAAAGAAGAGAATCTGCTCCAAGCAAATGTACTTATGGTTACTCCCTGAGTGACAAACAGATCTGACTGGGAAAGACACACAACTGAAGTTATACCAAGATTATAATAGGCCCAGACAAAAAATAGAAAAGACTTTCAAGTACCAGATGACATTCTTTGACATGTGATATATATGAACTTCCTTAATATTTTATTGAAACTTCACTCAAAATACCTGCATCTAGCAGGTTCTGATTAAATATTGCACAGTTTTAGTTGCCAAAGAAGTCATATCCCAATAGCTTAAATTATTTGTCATTAAAATTATCAAACTAAAAGCAACCTCTCCATTATTTGAAGCCACGACTTTGCAATTTCAAGCTAATGCCAGCCCACACTGCAAATGGAAAACATGAATTACACAGGTCTTATTAAAATCACAGTAAAGACTTTCAGAATGAATGTTTATTGTTGTTAATGGCAAACTAGCAAAACCACAACCATTGGATAAAAAAAAATCAAATAATAGCTATTGGAACAGACTTCGTGTGATCTTACAGGGCAGTGTTGTAATTATCAACATATTACAGCGTTGATATGTAAGAAAAAAGGTATGAGTTTAATTTACTTTTAAATAAAGAAACAATTAAGATGTAATATAAATGGAAGATCTTTGCCCATTCAAATTCATGTTTGTGCAGCAGCATGGACTATATGCTAATGCTGAGTTGAAAGAAAGGTAAAGAGGGTAAGGTCCAGTGCAGCATGAAAAGCAGGTAGCAGTTGATGAAAAGACTTAAGAGTGGTTGGGACATCACAATGGAATACAATTGGGTAGAACATCCACCAAAATAACACCCGATTAATTACAGTAATTAGATATAGGTCTATAAAGCACTGTAAAAATAGCAGCCACTGAAACTCAACCTCACATCAGTTACTCATTATTCTGGGCCATTAATATAGGATTTCTTCACATGGGTCAGCTCCTTGTTTTGATGAACACACATTCAAAAATATTTATAAATTGAAACTCTTACGATTAGAAGCCATGATGCCAAAAACCATGATGGCATTTCTGCGTACAATGGGATCTTCATGTGAGATGAGTTTATACAGATGTTCCAATGCTCCAAGACCAAGAAGTGTCACTTTGTTTTCATCACCTGAAGAGGAATTGTGTTAAAAGCCCAAGAAAAAATGCAACAACCTCACAGTTCTACTGTATCAAAGTAAAACAGCTACTTTTATTGGACAGCAGAATCAAAAAACAAAGGCCTGACAGGGCCTTGGGAGATCATGTAATCTATACCCCAAATAAATATGTGTCAAAGAGTTTCAAGGATTAATAATATCTAAGATTAATTCACATTTGTAAAGCAAAGGATGCTTCTGCCCATTGGACACTCCACTCATTTGTTAGAGACTGTAATGGTAGTACAAAGGACAACTTTCTATTTAGCAAAGTACAGGTGAACAGTATCATTAAGAACCTCATTTTATTCAGTATCATTAAGAAACTCATTTTGTCTTCCTCTTTTCTTGCCTCTCAATTCTGTTTTCCTCAAAATAACAATTAATTCAGTGTATCTTTATTATCCCTCAGTGGAAGCAACTACCAGGATTTGGAACATTAAATCCTAACTGAGATTTCTACCACCTGAGAATGGAGCAGTCTGTACCTCAATAGGTGCTGGACATACAAAGAACAGAGGTGTTTTGTGTGATTGCAACCTTCCATTCCTCATCACTCAAAACACACACACAACCCAAGAAACAAAATCCCAATCCTACTCCCATTCCCAGTTCTCACAACAGCTTTATAATTCATTTTCTAATGAACTATGCCTATTCTTTCTGGCTACAAGCAAGGAATGTAAGAGGAAACTGGAGAACTATGCTCATTCTCAGGCCAAGACATGATTAAAATACAAGGTATTTTTATTGAGGGATGGGACTTAATTTACTAGCAACACTCAAAAAATAGATTAACTGCAATTAATTAACTGAAAACAACTCCTCCTCTTGTGCCACACAGCAAAGTTACAGTCAAGTCTTCTGGAAGATTGTAGGAATATCTACATTAATGATTTAAAGGATTATTCATTTAGTAGAAACATAAAATATAAGCATCTGTCCTCCCTCTTGCAGCATGACATACTTTACTGTGGATAGCAGGGAAGGAGCCAGCAAGAGCTTATGGTTCATAGCTGTCTCCCAACAGTCCACATTCTCTCTTCCATATTCAAAATGTGATTGCTTGCTCTCAGCCAAGCTTGCCAAACCAAGCTGAGCCCAAACATCTTTCAGAACTCATTGACCTCTAGCCAGCTGTCAAAGCCTCCAGCTCTTCTCTCATAACTTCAGCAGTGTTGGCAATCACCATCAGTATAACAGTCAACATATAAACCCATAATTTTTTAAGAAAATGTAAATTTACTGGAAATTAAAATTAAACCAGATTAATCAGACCAAGAATACTACCAGCATATACCAACTTGAGTGACTGGCATGGAGTAAGTAGGAGACAGCTTAGGAAATTACTTGCTACATAAAATTGAGCCTTATACAGTTGCTTGTGTCCTCGGTCCCTTGGACATGATCCTTAGCTATAGATTATACAGGAACCTTTGGAAGATTTGGTATCTTGGAGACTTGTTAGATTCCCAATAGACAGAATAAGCTTGATAAAGGAGGTTGAGCAGTCTCCAATAAATCATCTGTCACAGAAATCCTGACACAACAACTTTATGCAAAAATAACAGAAACAAGCTAAAAAGTTATTTTCATTAAAAACTGAACCTTAAAATAATTACAGTGGTACAGAAGCCTCAAACTGTGACATAAAAAAAAGAATTATTTCCCAATTGCATGTCTGTTGCTCATAAAAAACCAGATCTACGTTATATTTAAAACAAGCTCTATTCAACAGTGAATATAAAATTCTACAACAAAATTATAAAAATTTGCTTCATGCAAACTACTTTATAACTGCAAATATGGGTTGGATCAATATCTCAGAAAACCCCCAAAACCTCAACAGAGACCTTTGAGAAGAAATTAAGATTTCAGTGCTAGGAAACTAAAAATTGTGAACTACTACCAAAATCTAAGCATGCAAAACAAAGGTCATTGCAAAAATACTAACCTTTTGAAGCAAATTTATATAGAGCATCACATGCTTTGGTCAAAACTTCCGTTTCAGGAGAACTAAGCATTAGTACAACTGTTTCTGGTGTTTTGCTTTCAATCAATAATGGATCGAACTACAAACAAACAAAAAAAAAAAAAAAAGGAAGGAAAAGTTTGATTTATGCTGACTCTTTCTGTATGCTGCAGTAGACTCCCACATTTAATTTAAAAAAAATCTTGTTTGATATCTAGACTGAATTAGAAATATTAACGAGTTGCTATTTACTTGGAGAAATCCAATTTTTTAACAATCGGAGACACTGTTAGAAACTGACTTCCAAATAAATATAATCAGGATTTCATCCCATATGGAGATTTTGGGAAAACCTTGACACTTCCCTGCACATCTAGAAAGTCTTGAAAGTAACAGACTAAGTAATTGTTACACATGTAAGAGCATTCTGTAGCTTTGGAACCAGACATGAGAAGTTTCTTTTGAGCACCTGTAACACAGAGACCACGAACTTAGGTGTTGTACAAGGAAGAGGATTTGGTTGCTCTGTGGCAATACCACTTTGTGGTTGCTTAAAAAAATAATATAAGAACACTGCCTGTGCCTTTGTCAACTCAGTTCAGCTCACTATGATCTTGCACTAGCTGAAGTATTTCCAAGATATAATCCCTGCTCACCCAGCCAGAAATGATACAAAGTGTTCATTGTTATTTCCGAGTTCTCTCATATGGAAAGAAATCTTCCAACAAATCAGACAGTTTTCACACTCTTAACAGACTTCTGAGGACTAACATCACATGAGCAAGAGAATCTTCTAAAAAAAGACTTTCATTCCTTAACAAGACACTATTCAATTTCTGAAAATCCTACCAATTAAAAAGTTTTAAGCTTGTTTGGATTTAAAGTAATTTTTCAGTACGGAAAAACTGTCTTCTGTCTTCACACTTCAGGACTATAGAGTATCTGTGTTACATACAGAAACTATCACATACTGGAGTCATGCTGTCTCTCAGAATCAATGTATTTATCTTTAAAATATAGCAGATTAATCATATGAGATAGCAATACAAATTATTTTAAAATATTGTTACAATATATATTTATACCATATATAATTACAAACGTTGACTATTTGTTTTACTTCATTAAAAAAACCTAATAGCTACATCAGAGGCACATATTGCTTGTCAAGCAAGTAAATTATATGGAGCAAATCTTAAAAGTTATGAGTGTGCTAGAAGAAAAATGTACAAAGAGGAGGCTTTTTTTCTTCTCACTCTTCTGACTTACTCAAAAATAAGGCAAAATATGATACTAGTACAAAGACTTCCAAATTCATATTTTCAGTAGGTTTTAAAATCTAATTCATTTCATTACCTTCCATGAGGCAGATCACACAATTTAGCAGGCAGTAAGCTCAACATACAAATTTCATTAAGAGGTTGCCTGCCTACCGTGCTTAACTGATCTACCTCGCTTCAATCAGGTCTGAAAATCTGAAGATACTTTCGTGCTTGCTGTGACAAGCTGGAGGCATGGGCCAAGTCATGGAAAAATATAATCAGCTTACTATACTGCAAGTCATTTTGCTTAATAATGACTCAGCAACAAGAAGTAAATCAAGTAATAGCATAGTGGTGCAAGTTACATCTTAATGATGTAAGAGCAGGAAGGCTCTTCAGAGGGACCTGGACAGACTGGAGAGTTGGGCTGATTCCAACGGGATGAGGTTCAACAAGGCCAAGTGCCGGGTCCTGCACTTTGGCCACAACAACCCCCTGCAGCACTACAGGCTGGGGACAGAGTGGCTGGAGAGCAGCCAGGCAGAAAGGGACCTGGGAGTTTGGATTGACAGGAAGCTCAACATGAGCCAACAGTGTGCCCAGGTGGCCAAGAAGGCCAATGGCATCCTGGTCTGGATCAGGAACAGTGTGGCCAGCAGGACCAGGGAAGTGATTCTTTCCCTGTACTCAGCACTGGGGAGGCCACAGCTGTGGCCAGTTCTGGGGCCCTCAGTTCAGGAAGGATATTGAGGTGCTGGAGCAGGTCCAGAGAAGAACAACAAGGCTGGTGAAGGGACTCAAGCACAAGTCCTGTGAGGAGAGGCTGAGGGAGCTGGGGTTGTTCAGCCTGGAGAAGAGGAAGCTCAGGGGAGACCTCATCACTCTCTACACCTCCCTGAAAGGAGGTTGTAGCCAGGTGGGGGTTGGTCTCTTCTCCCAGGCAGCTATCAGTAAGACAAGAGGGCATGGTCTTAAGCTGTGCCTGGGGAGGTTTAGGTTAAATATTAGGAAGAAATTTTTTACAGAGAGAGTAATCATGCATTGGAATGGGCTGCCCGGGGAGGTGGTGGATTCTCCATCCCTGGAGGTTTTTAAGATGAGACTGGATGTGGCACTTAGTGCCATGGTCTAGTAACCATGGCAGTGTTGGATCAAGGGTTGGACTTGATGACCTCAGAGGTCTTTTCCAACCTGGTTGATTCTATGATGGGCTTAAAATTATGGAATTCTTTATAGGAATTTTCTTTTTGGATTGTAAGGAGGCAAAAAAAATTCAGTTTATCACAGCAACACTCATTCAACCACATGAGGGGAATACAGGAGAATTAAGAGGTGACTGAAAGTTCTTTTAGTCACCTTCATACTTCCCTATTTCTGCACATTTGGGTCTTTGCATGGACCGAATGTGATCCCCCAGGTAAGTGCTATTATTTAAGCACAAACACATCTCCAGAGTCTGGACAAATACTTGGTGATGGGATAAAACTCCAATTTTTAGTAAAGGCTGCTAGTCTTCCAGAGAAAAATAAACACAAATATTGGTTTCAGATGAAGTTCAATAAGAAATGAAAGATGAAATAAGAGTTTTAAATCTCAGTTATTTATTTACATTGATCTAATAACAAAGTCACTATTACATCGCTCCATTTTCACTGCATCTCATGTTCACAATAAATTGTAGAAACCACAATTTAATGCAGATTCCTGGGATTTAATGACAGGTTTCCACATGAGCAGAGTGAAACTAATCTAATGTCTACCCATGTATGCTTAAGCAGTCAGAGGCCTGAGCAGGTCAGTGATTGAGAAAGAATTTCTTTACTGTGCAGGTGAGAGTGCACTGGAACAGACCGCCTGGAGAGGGTGGGAAGTCTCCCTCTCCGGAGATATTCAAGAACCATCTGCATGCAATCCTGTGCTGTTTTCTCTAGGATGGCCCTACTTGAGCGACGAGGTTGGACCAGATGACCCACTGTGGTCCCTTCCAACCTTACCCAATCTGTGATTCTGTGATTGCTCTGTGTTCATCAAAACTATCATAGAACTGATTAGGACTCTTGCTGATCATAATGCCTGCATAGCCAGTGTTCCACCTTTTTTTTTTTTTAAATCAAGGCTTGCTTCTAAATCTTCATACATCATTGTATATTCTTCCTGTAATGGCACATACAGGACAGATTATGTGCTAGAATAATATGCCTGAATTAATAACCTTGAATTAAACACAGAAATTTAACTACTTTAGAAGCAACATTGCCAACATTCAGTTTGTATTAAGAAAAAAGCAAATTAAATGGAAAAGAAACCTATAATTCAAAAACTTCTACATGTCTTTGATTTTGATTTTTGTGTACATTTGACTTCAAAGCCATTAAAAACTGCAGAGCATTTGGGGTTTGATTTTGGGTGGTGGTTTTTTTTGCTTCCATCAACTTAATTTAGTCGAAATTGAATGTAATATAAAATATGTTTCCAGTCAGACCAAAGACCCATCTAGCCCAGCATCCTGTCTCTGATAAAAGGCCTGTAACAGGTGTGGGCAAGCAGACTATTAAACTTTGCTTATATTCCCTCTCAGACTCCAGCACTTTGCAACCTAGAGAACTGGAGAGCCTAGTGAGTTTACCTCCATGTTCAAAAAGTCCAAGAAAAAATTTGGTACATAATTTTCAAAGCCATCTGTATTTTAATCACCGTTAATATTCTGAGACACAAGTACCACAATTTAACAGTCATATAAACTACTGTGCCTCTTTTTTGTTTTAAAACTACCACCTGATAATTTTGTTTGTCCTCCATGGTTCATTCACCATAAGAAACAATGAAATAAATTACACCCATTTGTCTTCCCTGTATATTCATAATTTTCTAAGTTTCTATGATATTCCCCTTCACAGTTATTCCTTCTGGGGATGAAGAAACCTACCCCCTTTGATCTTTCCTAATACAGAAGCCACTCTGTCTGTTATTGTTGTCTTTCTTAGTTCATTCTGTTCTACAGTTCAGAACTGTGTTTCCATTTAAAATGGAAACACCAAAACTGTTAATGGCATTTAACACGTGCATGTATAATGCATTTGCTAGTGACATGGTGTTTTGCCTTTTATTTCTGGAATTTGAAATGTTGTATCTGGCTGCCATTTTCATGAAAACATCAATTAATTCTGAAAGACTGGATGACACAGGTTGCAGAATAAAACTCCATGACATTCCACTGGCAACCTCTCTCTGTTATGAAACCTGAACAGGAACCTGTTTTCTCACCTTTGCTTTCGGTTTTACAACCCGACATTATTGCTAGGAGAGAAAATTATTTTTACCTCTTTGTCTTTATGTGAGTGAAAAGCTCAGTCTAAAAACTTTTGAAAAAGCTAAGTAACTGTATCAATCTGAACACCATTATCTACTTGCTCACTAACTCCTCCAAAGAATTCAAGTAGATTTCAGAGATCAAACTTTACATAAGCAGTATTGACTCTCCCCCATTATTATCATATTTATCCATGGGTTTGGTTTGAAGTTTTTTTTCAGAACTATTTCTACCAATTAACACAGCATTGAAAGTTCCTGTAATTATTATTGTATTTCTTTTTGAAAATGAAATTTTCTTCTCTTCATTTTTCCACTACATTAAATGCTACATGTAGCAGTACCACATTTTCAGATTTTAATTATTTTCCATTTAGCACAAGACCTGGGCAAATACTATTTATTTCTACTTGGGCAATTTTATCACATTTATTTTGGTGCTTTGGCTTTTGACAAAAAAAGAAATAATTTTGCTTTTCCTTCATGACTTTAATCACCTAATAAAGTCCCTCTAAGAAGTTTCTTGCATCTAGTAAATTTGGAAAAGCTTTACTCCTAATTTGGTATCTTTGCTAGTTCTCTCCCAAAATATTTTGATGCAGGGTGACATTGTGCTTTTACTACTCATTTGGGAGGGCAAGGGTTTTTTTGTTTTTCCATTTGAATGCAAATCCCACCTTATGAAAGATGCATTTATCTGCTATTATTTTATTGTTTAATCATGCTGTAATTGTCTTTTTAAAAATCACTTAAATTTGATTTAAGGTCAGGTTTAGCATCGCACCTTTCACAGAATTTTTAGAAGCACTATTGATATCTTTGATATTCTTAATCCCTTTTCCTTTACCTAGAAAAACAGAGTTAACAGATACCTGGACATGCTAATTGTTTCAGTTTTGTGATTGCCTGATCTCCTGTTTTAACAATATAAACCCAAGATATTCCACTGAATCACAACTAGTTGATGTTAGAAGGCACTTCTGGAGACCTGATCTGATCCAACTGCCCTGTTCAGAGCAGGGAAAGCTGGAGCTCAGGGCTGGTACACAGTCTGACTTTGAGTGTCTCCAAAGCTGGAGACTCCACAAGCTCTCTGGACAACCTGTGCCATGTTCCATCATTCTTACAGTAAAAGAGGGTGGTTTTTTTCTTACGCTTCAATGGAACCTCCTGTATTTATGTTTGTTTCCATTGCCTCTCATCTTTCCACTGGGCACCACTGAGAAGAGCCTGGCTTGATTTCTTTACTTCTTCCTGTCAGATGACACTGCCAAGACCCCTCTCTCCAAGCCTTCTCTCAAGACTGAACAGTCCCAAATGTCAAATGACAAATGCTCCAAGACTTTGGCAGATTTGTTCCAGTAAGGCTTTGTCTCACTTGTACCACAGAACCGAGAACAGAATCACCAGGTCCTTTCCTGTAAAGCTGCTTTCCAGCTGGTCATCCCCCAGACTGTACCGGATATTCTTCCCCCAGGTGCAGGATTTGGCATTTCCCTTTACTGAACTTAATTAAATTCCCAATTTCCCATTTCTCTAGTTTGTTGAGGTCCCTCTGAACGGCTGCACAACCATCTGGTCTGCCTATCACTCCTCTCAATTTTGTATCACCTGCAAACTTGCTGAGGGTGCACTCTGTCCCATCATTCAGGTCACAAATGAAGAGGTTAAACAGTATCAGCCCCAGGATCAACCCCTGGAGCACAAGAGTGCCTGACCTCCAACAGGACCCCACGCTGCAACGCTTTGAGCCTGTCAGTTCAGCTACTTTTCAATTCATTTACACTGTTTCTCTTGTCGAGACTTCACTAGCTTGCCTATGAGGATGTTATGAAAGTATTGAAAGCCTTACTAAAGTCAAGTCACATTAATATTTAGGCATTAATCAAAAGAAGGGGTTTCTGTGGAGACAATTTCAGGAGCTGACTGTGCCACTTCATACGTTCCACCTTTTGTTAACATCAGAGTTGTGAATGAAGCTATTTTCAAAAATACTCAGGTATCTATAGCTTTCTTTAAGTGACAGCGCCTCAGTATTTTCTCTGGTGGTAATCTTAGGTCTCCTTTCAATGTCTGTGCCCTACCTGATGATCAAATAGTAATATTGTCTGGACCAAACTTAATCTAGACATCATATGAAAAGCTCCTATCAATCTGTGTCAAGTATTTTATCTGCCTGAATTACTGACTTAGGTCATTCATACAGAGATAGAGGCTCAAAGCAATATTTTTCCTGTAGGAGACCAATTCTCATAACAGAGAATAGTAAAAGACAAATTATGCAAGGCTGTGAAAACAGAATCCTCAGGAACATTTTCTAAAACAGAGGCTAGGCTAAGAGATGTGTTTCCCACCTGTTCCTAGAAATCTATAAAAAATTAGTGGTCATCTGCAGTACCATATATTCTCAGAGCATTCCACGTGCACAAAGGCCCTCTTTATAAGCCTGCCTACATTATCTCAAGGCTTCTTTTCTTAGACTTGACATTTTCATAAACAGATTATCAATCAGAAGATAATGGCTAATACGTCTTTTTATTTTGTCTGCATCTCATTTCCTGCCACCTGAAATATCCAGGTGAAATTTCAAGTTTTGAGATTTGATTTTACACAATCATTATTAACAACATTCTCATAGCTATAAGATTTTCTTGGTTGATAGTTACAATTAATCAATTATCTATTTTCATGTTTAATACTGTTTTGCTATGCAACATTCAGGTTTTTTTCTCCTGCTAGGACTGACAGAAGAGATATGCTAACCTGAAGTATAATAAGGGGAAAAACTAAGCCAAAAGCTTCAGATGCCATCTGGAATTCACTCTTTCCAGTTCTTTCCTTTTTGATAGTTTTATCAACTTTTTCTCTAAGTTGGATTTTTTCAGTTATTGAATATCTTTTCTGACATTATTCACAGCCTATTGTAGTACCTACTAGGCTGTATCACAGTTTTCTCCAGAAAATCTAATGGTATGTTTTGGATACAGAAATTGTAGTGCTGCATCTACTGATTTTAGCTATTTACTGAAAAGGTCAACTTTTATTACTTTAGCTTATCTGTATGGCTTAAATGTACTGTCATGCCTTTCGAATTTTTTCTTAGACTGCAAAGATACTTAGTTTTACTCTTCAGGCCTGTTTTAATTAGTCTTATCCACATTCACTGTTTTTGTGACTCCTCCTGTTTTTTTTTATACAGACCCAGGTTATGTTGAAGTTTTATGTCATCTCTTTTCATAAGGATTTGTTATTGATTGGATCTTATGAATTACATTTGTAATATTCACCTTTCCACATAACAGTTGGACCAAACCTGGTATCAATTCCTATGCCTCAGCAGCATCATGGCTATTGGATATTACTTAGTCAAAATTATTTATGCTTATTTAATTTTGAAATTGTAATGTAGGTTTTGCTGATCAACTTGTCTATGATCTATGAGCTTTGAAAAAGCTCTTGCAGTACTACCACTCTTTACAGACAAACCCATTGTTTTTTTTAAAACAGTGTACTGAACTTTGCATTTAGTTTCATGTTCCTCTGTGGAACTTGTTGAGGTCCCTATTTTCATTAATTTGGTTATTATCTGGCACAGAATTTATATTATACTATTTTCAAGGTTTCTGTATTTCCTCTACTTCTCTCTGAATAAAACATTTAAGCTTTAAAATTTCCTGTATTTTGCATATCTATCTTTTTGGGGGTTTCTTCATACCTTGTGAATTTACAGAAACCCTTGAAAAGTGTGCTTGTGTCAGACCCTTAACCTCCACCTTTTGAAAAAAAGTCACATTATCACCATGATTCTATATTTAGCTTCAGCTCTTGTACTTCCAATGATACCAAAAAGACTGTGTATCTTCGCAAAAGATCCAGAGTATATAATACTAGCATTCAAAATATCTGTCAAATTTTGTATTTGTATAAAACTGCAGATCCATCTAGGCTCTTAACTCTTTCACCCTTAAAGAAAGAGAATGTCTTCACAGTTGAAAAGACAGGCAGGTTTCAGGTTGCTCTTCTCCTTTCTCCTTTGATTTTTACAAAGAGAAAGCTAACACTGTTCTTAAATAAAAAGAAGCCTGGATTGTTTCATACATTACTGTTTGCAAAGCCTGCCAAAGACAACAATCTCTACAAAGAACTACACATGCCCAGTCACTCTGGTTTGTATGCTGTCCAAGAAAAGCAGAAACAGAGTCATCTTTAAAAGCCATTTTTAGAATAATGTGGGTAAGTTAGGAGAATAAGGAACTACATAAGGACTGTAGAGCTGGGCCTGTAACTGTGTAATGTTTATTTTATAGCACATAGCACTTTATAAACTTACCACATCCTTGGGTGGAGGCTCTGCTTCCTTCTTTACTTTTTTACCCATTCTAAAAACAAACAAACAAACAAATAAAAGCAGACAAACAAATTCCCTTCTGTGTTTTAGGAACCAGTTTACCATTGATTTAGAAAAGCTTCTAAGACAGATCTTCTCATTCATTTGACCCCACCTAATTAGTCTGAAGATTTCTTTGACTTGTATAGTAGTTTCTATACAAAATTTGTCCCTTTTTCTAACACTTGAACACATTTGGTAAAATACATCTGTCAACAAAATACATAGATCAAAAGAAAGGTTTGAGACATCACAGGCTCAAGTTGTAATGTGGTACAAATACATAGAACATCCTTTTCTCTAAGTTAGTTTTATTTGCATCTATAAATCATATATGAACTTGAAAGTCCTTTTAGGGTATTTCCCCATGTTTATCTACACATTCTGTGTTAGCAAACATTTCATACAAATGTAGAATGTACAAATAAGTTCTACCCCAAAAACATGGTTCAAATACAATTTGAATTCTCTGTTAATATTTCACAAAAGACAAAAATCAGGTCTGCAGGTATTAAGAAACAGTTCTTTACAGTACAAATTTCACTGATTTAAAAAACTTACATCTATTTTCACCAAGTCCAGCTTCTGTCTTCTGCCTTTTTTTTTTTTCTGGCATTAGCACATGTGCACATGAACCAGGAAGACCTCCTCAACTGCATCTAATAGTAGCTTCTGAAGCATATGGGTGTAATACCTCATGTGGACCTAATTTTGTGTGGCTTCAAAAACTTCAGGAGAGCCTTCCAGTTAAGATACAGGCAAAAGTAAAGGGCAACATGAGCCACTAGCACTAACTATGCATAGAACATAACCCAAGTTATGCCAAACTTCAGTTTGTTTTAACACTGCGTAAAAGTGAAATGTGCACTGTTAGTACCCCTTGTTAACTCCTCTGTTGGTTCTCAAAGTAAAACCACACATTCACCCTCAGCCAGGACTATCCTGACAGCTTCCCTGTGGTATAAGAGATTATTTTTTATTGCAATATGAGCTGTAGCCTGGCTGGTCACAAAAGTCAAGGCTATTGTTTGTTGTGTTCAACAAAAATTTAGAGCTCTTCTTGAATCCTCTGATTTTTTTCCAGGTATTGTTCCTCTAGTGGTCTCTACAAATAAACTGTAACACAGCAGTAGTGAAACCAGTTCATAATCACATCCTAAAAATGGATCTGAAGTTTAAAACTTCAAAGGCAGGTCACTAATTACAGTTTTGAGAGGAAAATCCACACAATCAAAGATTCTTCAGCTCCAATCTGCTTTACCCTTGTGCATCTGTACATACACACATATGAACACACACACACAAATTCAGTGTTTCAGAAAATGCAGCTTTGGCTAGAGATAAATTAACTTACGTAAGAAAAAGCATAAGGACAAATTACTGACAGTATATTCAACAAACATGATGGACATACTACCTTCTGATTTATGCAGTCACTGTAGAAAGTAAGAATCCTGCACACATACAAGAATCAGATTTACAAGGACATTCAGGAAATCTGGGTTATTTAAATTGTGCTAAATCCTGGTATGGAGATATGGACTCTTATTTAGAATTATTCAGTTCAGCTCGATTCATTTCAGGTATAAATTAAGCTAAAGTCATGAGGCAATTTTAATTCTGAATGAGTTTAATTAGGTTTAAACCAAACAATTTTAAAAGTTAATTAATGTAAAAGTATTTATAATGTTGTATAATTAATGTTCTCAGATTCAAATTATAAATATTTCAAGACCAAGAATAACTAAAGTATTTAATTGCAAGTACTTCTTCATTCTGTATAAATACATCCAACTTCTGAGCATATTTTTAAGAAACTTTTACATTTTTCTTAGTTTCAAAATATTTAGTTCCTTTAACTTTAAAAAAGCAGTATGACCTGTAGCAATAAGCAGAGAGACCAGCACAACTACTATACTGTGGGTTATGCCCCTCAGTCTGTTTCTTTGCAGCAGGTACTAGTCTGAATTTCAATGCATTCTGCCATCAAATGTTGTTATGATCTTTGTTCCCATAAAGATCTCAGTGATCACTCTCTGATTTGAGGGAATGATGTACTTGGAATTCTTTGGCTTACTGATAATTAAAAATATGTCTTCTGCATTTAATTTTCATTATCACAGCCAATCAATGTGTACAGGTATTGAAAGGCTACTGAACTATAAAAGAATTTCTTTATTCAAATCCCTTTCTGTCCATGATAGCTGCATGTTGTCTTTTTCTCAGCAGGTTTACAGTACACATACACCAAGTTGGGTGGGACTGTTGATCTACTGGAAGGTAGAAAGGCTCTGCAGAGAGATTGGGACAGGCTGGATTATGGGAAGAGGTCAATGGTAGGAGGTTCAACAAGGCCAAGTGCCAGGTCCTGCCCTTGGGTCACAACAACCCTGTGCAGGGCTACAGGCTGGGGGAAGAGTGGCTGGGAAGCTGCCCAGCAGAAAAGCACCCGGGGGTGCTGGTCAACAGCAGCTGAACACGAGCCAGCAGTGCCCAGGGGCCAAGAAGGCCAGTGGCATCCTGGCCTGTATCAGCAATAGTGGGGCCAGCAGGACCAGGGAAATGATTGTGCCCCTGTACTGGGCACTGCTGAAGCTGCACCCTGAATCCTGTGTTCAGTTTTGGGCCCCTCACTACAAGAAGGACATTGAGGTGCTGGAGCGTGTCCAGGGAAGGGAAATGAAGCTGGTGAAGAGTCTGGAGCACAAGTCTGATGAGGAGCAGCTGAGGGAGCTGGGGTTGTTTAAACTGAAGAAGAGGAGGATCAAGGGAGACCTTATTGCTCTCTACAACTACCTGAAAGGAGGGTGTAGTGAGTTGGGGGTCGGTCTCTTCTTCCAGGTAACAAGCAATAGGACAAGAGGAAATTACCTCAAGCTATACCAAGGGTGATTTAGATTGGATATTAGGAAAAAATACTTCACCAAAAGGGTTGTCAAGCATTGGAACAGGCTTCCCAGGGAAGAGCTTCAGTCACTAACCCTGGAGGTATTTAAAAAACATGTACATGTGACGCTTAGGGACGTGTTTTAGTGGTGGGCGTGGCAGTGTTAGGTTAAGAGTTGGAGTCAATTATCTTAAAGATCTTTTCCAACCTAACCAATTCTATATTTCTAAATCTTAAAGACAAAATAAAGAATATTCTCATTTGAGTAATATCCTCTACTTCATGTCTTGCACATTTCTAGAATCACAGAAGCATACTTTTTCCACATATGTTTTTTGAGATTAAAGAGTTGATTGCTGTAAATCATGTAGAGCTAGAAGTAATAAAGTACTTTGACCTAACAGATGCAGGCAATGCATAGTCAAGCAACCTATGAAGTTATCATTCTATGCTACTTTCTGTCCTTCACCTGGAATTTATTGCTATCAATGACAGATAAACTAGCCTGCTTTACCTCCCTCCAACCCAGTTTCAGTGCAGTGGTCTAATCGGGTGTTTTCTCTCAGTCAGCAGGACAGTCATTAGGTCTACCTAAATCCTCATTCTAAACCCACAATCCTCAACACTCTCCCTCAGCTCTGGCTACTCTCAATGCCTAAGCTCAGCAGGTACTTCCCTGTCTCACTCTAAACTTCATTAGAATCTCCAGCTTTCCCACAGGACCAGAACAACCCCAGTGTATCTTAAGTTGAACCAGTATCTGTAAACTATTAGTAGTGTCCACTAAACTATATTAGGCATCAGTACTAAAGTTAGTCACTGTCCTCGATAACTGATGGAGATCTAGTCAACATACTGAATACCTCTTATGGCAGATTCATCCTAAGCAGGTATCTAAAATGGAACTGCACCTTAAAAATAACTATTTTTTTCTTGGACCAAAACCAAAGTCTAGAGTTGTTGGTTCATATATTTGCATTTATACTGATATCTGAAATGTGTGAGCTAAGCTTATTACCCCGTTTCTCCACATAAATCCACATGCCAGGCTAGGTCTAACAGATACTATTGCAGCAGACTAACCATTAGCAGAACTAGACATACCCCAAAACACAGCCACCTGGTCTTTCTTAAAGTGGTTGAAGGAACAGGCTCATCTCCAGTAATATCTCTATAACCAGAACATTTTGCCTGTAAGTAGAAAAGGATTTTGAGGAAGTTCAGAAATACAGATTTTTTTAGTTCAGAAGTGGAACCCTCTAACCTCTTGACTATTATATCAGGAACTGGCATCTCTATCATGTCAAATAAAATAAGGACAATTTATTTAGTTTTTGAGAGTTGCTGCAGATGCCTGCTTAGAGGAGCAGATTCCAAGTACTAGATCGTAAGATAATTACGGCCATGATCTCTGTACTTACTTCATTTTATTTTCTTGCTCTAAGAACCTCTCTGCTCAGTCTGAATAGTTTCCTAGATTCAAATCTGAGATATGCACTTATTTCTAGCCACTACACTTTTTTTTTTTAAACACAAGATGATGGCTAGCAAGTGAGCTTCAACAAGAAAAGAATCTATAAACCACACTTTGAAATATGAGGAAAGTCTTCTGGTTGTTTTTCTCTTTGAAATACTGAAATCTTATAATCTTCCTTTACAGTATGGAGCATATATCTGTATTATCAGAGTCCTGTTGCATACCCTTCAAGACCATAATATATTATGGTTTTAAGTCAGACAATGCATTTAGAAAGCACTACCTGTTCCATTTGCTTCTTTCTGTTTTAAATCCTTAAATAACAGACACAAAACCCTAGAACTCTGCACATACTGTGAGACCTGAGACAAAGAACAGGAACAGGTCAAAGGTACAGCCAGCTGTGGAACTTACCTCTTAGTCAAGGAATCAAAGGTCTCTTCTGAGAGCAATTACCCCTGTGGAAAAGCAGTGCAAAGAGAAGGATTTAAGAATAGTTTCTAACAAGTTATTTATGACATGATCCACTTTTCAGATTAACTGTCCTATGCTTTAAGACAATCTGAAGCTGTGTTACTACAACTTGGCCACGATTTTCAGGTTCTTCACAAAAATGATGCACGAGATTCTTTTTGCCTTCCAAGTAACAATTACATATCAATTTAATCGAGCTAGTTCAATTGAAGTTTGGCTGTTTAGTTTTGTCTCATAGAAGCTATTTTTTTTGTGATAACAGTGGAAATTGCCTTATAAATGGGTCATTGTCATTGATTATTTCAATTGATTTCTGTATGGACACTTTAGTTCTGCTGCCTCCCAATGTAATCAAGAGATAATCATATCATCAGCAGACAATCTCACTCCTTTTTTGAGTCCATAAACTAGTATGTCCTTTGTATGCCATCTTAAATATACTCATCATCATTCTCAGACAGCTCTGTCTTAATTAAGAGAACAATGTGGAATAATCTTGAAACTCCTTTCTTTCTCCCACATTCTTCTTCCATCTTTTTTCTGTCCAACTCCTTAAGTATGGATCAACAGACTCTCTTTGCCATGTTGTAAAGACAGCGAAAGCATTAAAACACTACTAAAAACCTTGGCTTCATAGAAGAAGAGAGTTAAAAAGAGATGGTAGATTCAATTTAATATTCAGTTCCTGAACATATATATATATATATGGAATATGAAACTAATACATTGCATGAGAGACCAATTAAGTCAAGACCTTTGAATTTGTCCAGTGTGTGTATTAGGCAAAAAATGATCAGGAAGTTCCACCTGAACATGAGGAAGAACTTCTTTACTGTGCAGGTGACCACACACCAGAACAGATTGTGCAGAGACGTTGTGGACTTCTCTTCACTGGAGAGATTAAAGAACCATCTGTACACAATCCTGTGCAATGTGCTCTGGGATAACCCTGCTTGAGCAGGGAGGTTGGACCAGATGACCCCCTGTGGTCATTCCAACTTGACTCATTCTGTGATGCTGTGAGGATTAGGTCAAGATTTAGCTACCATGCAAGAGACGTTAACTAACCAAACTTACCTAGAGTGTGATCCTAGATACAAGACAATATTTTGATTCAACTGGACAAAGTTCATCCCATTGCAGGAAAAAAAAACAAACCACTAAATGTACTCTGATCATTCTGAGAGTTCCTTTAAAGATTCCAATTTTTTCCAATGATCTATGCATTTTTACGTTATACACACACAAAATGAAAGAATCATTAAAAATACTGAGAGATGCAGAGTGGAGTACCCTGCAGACAAAGTCTTAAAACCAAAATAAATTTGTAGTTAGATGCCAGGCTGAGAAAATAGCTATGAGAGAGAAAAGGTGGTGATTTTAGGCAAGTTAAAAGATAATACAATTATTTATTTAAAATCTCAGAACTTTTAAGATACAATTACACTTCTTATTTGCATTTTGATATCACATTAACATTCAGCTGAGTGTTACTTTCAAAAGCCCAAGGATAGATGCTAAGGTTTTTAACAAAAGCCAAGCTTCTCAGCTATTTGATTCTACAATCTGATGCTGTGAAAATATGCTAAATTTGCACTAAAAAATTTGACTCATGAGTCATGTACAGCCTCAGATTGATAGATAGTTTTTCCATACTGCCCAAGGGCCATAGTTCACTGTTTTCTGAAAGTGAACAGCTTGGTACACCTAGCAAGAGTCAGGAGTGTTCCAATCATATTGAAATCCTAAGCTGTAGAGGCAGAATGTATTTTCCAATTTGTACAGTGTAAAAGATGATGTATGATTGTTCATAAAAAAAAATTAATAGGAATTAAAGGACATGATAGCATTCTTTCCAAATCACACAATAACTAAGAGGTCTCGGCACAAGAAAGCTCCTTCTATGAATAAGAACAGTCTTCCATGGATGATCAGTATCCAGCCTCCAGAATGGCAACAGCCAAATGCTGATAATTGCTTGAAACTATCTCAAAAGTCAGATTTCCTCCATTTGTTACAGGGTTTCTATTTCCCTAAATTACCAAGGTTTAGATTTCCTAAAATTTTTATGTTCTTCCTAACAATAGTATCTATTTTTACTGTCCACATGAACACTTAATCCTTTCACTCTTCTTTCTTAGTCTGAAATGCTACAGCACAGGTCCAATTGTCAAGGGTACTGTACAAGGAACTATGCCTTAGACTTAAAAAATATGTAAATAGTTTAAATGTGTTATTCAATTCAACACAATAACCCCTCATTCTTGTATTACAACTTTAGGTAAGAGGTACCCTGACTTGATCTTTTTTACTTCTTTTATAACTCACTGTACACTCTGATTTATCACCTTTCTAAGCCACCTTAATTATTTTTTCCATATAGCTTTTCCAGACATTTATATTTCTTGTCTCAGAGTCCCTCTGTGACTGTTAAATCTTTCTCAGATATGATATACTCAACCTAAAATACCATAATCAATTCTAGAACACTACTGACTTATTTGAGTGACTTTATAACTTTCAGGGTATTTATTTTTACCCAATTTCCTCAGTGAAGATTTTCACTAAGCTATCCACATACGGTAAACAGGTCATTTTCCCAGCTGATCACAATTAATTTAGGTTCACTACTGAAGAGAATATAGTGCTCTAAGTATTCCTGACATTATAAATTACACTGCTTTCATCAACAATTAGTTTTATCTGTCATGGTGTTACCAGTTCACCTAACTGCAGAAGAGCTCTCAGAAGCTTCTAGCAGTCTTCTTTAGTCATAACAAAATTATTTTATCTCACTAGAAAATTTTGATTTTGCTATATTATTGGTCACATATTAAATAATATGAGACCTAAGATCTACCTCTGGAAAATCTAAGCTGTTATAACCCGAATGAAGGTGATTTTTTAGAAAGTACGTGTGATTTTAAATGTCTGACTGAGACACATAGTGAAATCCCTCATTCCATGAAAAAGAGACTAAAGAAAAATTGACCTAAAACAAATGAGATACAGTAGTTACAGTAGTTACAACCACTGTCTGAGCAAAAACAGCAGGACACTTCTCATACAAGAGGTAAAGATGGTCTGACTTAGGAAGAAAGACTAGTAAAAAAATTGAAGACACTCCTAAGTTTTTAGCCAGCGGTGCCAGTCTACATGTCTTAAAAAGAATGCCTTCTCATGGTAGTTTCACAGGGACATTCAGTGAAAGGGACATTCTGAATTATCAGATTCATGCCCCTCCACCATCACAGCCACTGCATCACTTTAATCCCACCAGATACCTATCACACTGTATCTTAAAAACTGCTAGATATTTTGTTTCCACCTCTCCTGTTAAAAAGTTGTTCCGCAAGGTCAGGGACCATTTTTTAACTTTTGTCTACAGTTTACTGTATTTGTGTCATGTCTGAACATCTTCAGTTACTTTATTTGCTGGCATGAATGAAATATACAGTAAATAGTTATCCTATACAATATATATTTACCATATTCTATACATACTATATAGTATATTATATAAATTCCATATATATTTACATACAGAGAATCAGAATACATTTAGAATCATAGAACAGTTTGGGTTGGAAGGGGCCTTAAAGATCATGCAGTTCCAAGCCCTCTGCTGTGGGCAGGGACACCTTCAACTAGACCATGTTGCTCAAAGCTCCATCCAACCTGGCCTTGAACACTTCCAGGGATGGATCCACAGCTTCTCTGGGCAACCCGTTCCAGTGCCTCACCACTCTGAGTAACTGCCTAATTCAAACCTACTTTCAGTTTAAAGTCATTCCCCTTTGTCCTATCCCTACACACCCTTGAAAACAGTCCCTCTCAAGCTTTCTTGTGGGCCCCTTCTAGGTACTGGAAGGTGTTACAATGTCTCCCCAGAGCTGTCGCTTCTCCAGGCTGAAAAACACCACCTATCTCTCTCAGCCTGTCTGCACAGGACAGGCACAGCAGCTCTGATCATGCCCCTCCTCTATCTGAAGATAACAAACCTGTCCCCACTCATTTTGTTAGCTTAAAGAATTCTTCTAATTTCCTCCAAAAAATGATTCCTCATTTCCCACACCATCCTCATAAGCCCTTTTTAAGTCAACCTCTTGAAAACATGGATGACCTCAGCTGAACACAGCATCCCCGATGAAGCTTCTCCTGTCTTGGACAAAACTGTACTCTTACTTCTTGGTCAGCACTGGATACACCTCAGCTGTGTTGCTATCACTTTTCTTAAAGGCGTATATGCCCTTATCAAGTTGACTGTAAGTTTTTAGGGTTTTTTGGTTGTGGCTAGAGAAAGCTTCAGTGTATGCCTTTAAAAATCATAGAATCATAGAGTGGTTTCGGTTGGAAGGGACCTAAAAGATGATCTCATTCCAAACCCCCCTGCCGTGGGCAGGGACACCTTCCACTGGACCAGGTTGCTCAAAGCCCCATCCAGAGCCTGGTCTTGAACACTTCAAGAGATGGGGCATCCACAACTTCTCTGGGCAACCTGCTACAGTGCCTCACCACCCTCACAGTAAAGAATCTTTTCCTAATATCCATCTACGCCTACTCTTTTTCAATTCGAACCCATTCCCTCTTGTCCTGTCGCTATACGCTCTTGTAAATAGTCTTGACCCACCTTTCCTGCAAGTTCCCTTCAGGTACTGGAAAGACGCTACTAGCATAAAATAACGACGCTTTTTAAGCTTTAACTTACTATTTCTGAAGGTCTACAGACACGTGGCCCTCAGCTCACTGACCAGCGCCGTGGAGCCAGACCCGCCGGGCACGGCCCGAGGGCACCGGCCGCTATAACACACCTCCCGCCCGACGCCGCCGCCACCCGAGGCCGCACACGGTGATTTCAGCGCCTCAGCCCCTCCGCCCTCGCGGTGCCTGCGCCCTTCGCCCACCTCCCCTCAGCGCCAGAGACCCCCGAGATCCGCAGCGGCGGGGCCGGAGCGCCCGCCCTGCCCGGGCTCCCCGTGCCGCCCGGGGGCGATCGCGCCGCGCCGCCCGCGCCGCTGTTCCGCCGGTTGCCGGGAGACGGCGGCGGCCCGGGCAGGGCCCGCCTGGGAGAGCCGGAGGGAGCCTGAGGGAGCTGAGCCCGCCGCCCCCGCGTCGCCTTCCCCACCCTTTCCCAGTTGTCCCTGGGCAACGGCTTCAAGCGTTGCTCGTTTAATGTGAATTCCCAGAAGTCCTCGGGGAACAATTTCGCCGTGACACTTGCATATAATCCATTTCTTCACAGTTTATCCCGACTCCGAAGTGGTAGTGACACTTCTTTGAGGGAAACTTTTAAGTGGTTAATGCTGATGGGCCCGGGGCAGTGATGGAAAAAAGCAATCAGTTATTTTTGCAGACTAAAGAGGAAGGCTACTTTCTCACCCAAAGAACGCTATTTCTGAAAACTAATAAACGTTTACAGTCTGTCTAAAATATACAAGTTGCCATATTCACGCCTGCCTTTTGTGGTTTTTTTTTCCTCTTGGTCCTGTGCCACTGTCTATTTTCAGTGCACTCACGGGGAAAAAAAAAAAAAAAAAGAAAAAAAAGTTGAAAAAGCCTTCTGTTTTGGGGAGAAACAGATAAAACCACACAGGACAGAGCGAGGCACAGGCAAACCTCTCTCGAGCCCCGTGGGCAGAACATCAGCCAGAGCCATGTCAAGGGGCCGGAGGGGTGATCAGCTGTTGTCAGCTCTGGGTTGGTGATGGAGAACTCTGTGCTGTATCGAGAACTGTGCTATTCTCAGAATAATAATTCATTCTAGTATTTGCTGAATTCTGAAATCAAAAATCCACTGCGCAGGCTGGAAGGGTTAATGACCTTTCCCAAATCTTCGCTCGCGAAGACTGGCCATTATATATAATTCATTCTAGTATTTGCTGAATTCTGAAATCAAAAAACATTTTCTACTTGAAATGCAGCTTAATTGCTATCAGTAACTGCTGAAGTGACAGAAAACAAGAAAATCTAATCATTTCCAGGCCTCAAAGTCAGGTAATAATAGGTAAAGAAATTACAGCTGCTAACATATCTCGCCTGTGATTTCTTATAATCACAAATCTCATTGCTTTCTCCCCAGATTTTTTACAACATTGCACTGCAAGTATAAATTTAGTTCTATTTTTATAAGCCATATCAATCTATTGAGATCATAGCACAAAGAGGTCCTGCCATCACACTATGACAAATGCGTACCATCATAACAGAAGAGCTGGTAGGTCATTTTCAGGCATAGGAAAACCACGTGTGAAGGTGTCTCGTTCCACTTTTGACACTCCTATAGAAAATTTATAGAGATTTATAATCACCTTCCCTGGAAAGTAACTGTGCTGACAAGTGAAGAACCATTTATACTGACTGGTATCTCCACAGGCAGAAGAAATCTCGCTGAACTTGGTGACTGACTGACACTCCACCAATTCTGGCCAATGGATTTCTCAGGCTTACAGTGGTTAGTAGAGGCTTACACTGGCAGGGAAGGAAGGAAGGAAGGAAAAAGAATTTTGGTACAGGCAAGTCACCTGCTTCCTAAACTTCATCATGGACCTTTATTTCTCTAAACAGAGTCTGGCACGACAGTGCCAGACTGGTGCTAAAAAAGTAAGAGATGGATGTAAATAGTAAAGGCAAAGATTTGGTTTTAACCTTGTGCTGGGTCTACCTGGGGTGCAGATAGTTTTTTTCCCTGCAGCTTGTGGGTTGCCATGTTCTAGGTTTGTGATCGAAATAGTGTTGATAATGCTATTGCTAAGCAGTGGTTGCACAATGTCAAGGCTGTTTGTTATGCTGCCCTGCCAGAGAGTAGGCCTGAGGGTGGGCAGGAGGCTGAGAAGGGGACACAGCTGGGAGAGCTGACCTCAACTGACCAAAGGGGTATTTTATGCTATATAACATCAGGCTCAGCAATAACGCTGGGGGGTGATCTTCCCAAGGCAGATGTTGCTTGGGGACTGGCTAGGCTGGTGGAAGGTGCTGAGTGATTGCCTTTGCATCACTTGGGGATTTTTTAAACTTTTCCTTCCTTCATTTATTAAGCAGTCTTTATTTTGAGCCACTTATTTTCTCACTTCTGTTTTTGTAATTATTTCCCCTACCCTGCTGTGGCTGTGGGGGTATAGTAAGCAAGCAGCCCACAAGTGCTTAGTTGCTGCTTGGGATCTACTTATCCCAAACCCAAAGATTTCCATGACTGGGAAGACTTTTCTTTTTCTTATCTTCAATAATGGTAGTTCTTGTGGCTATTTCAAACATCATGATAGCCAAACATTAGTTGGTTAGATATTTTCTTTATTTCATTGGAATTGTCACCTAAAAAACGTACAGCGATGCAGACTCTATGTGAAAGAAGAGGGACAGGGTAATTTGGTGCATAATTACCCTGTATTTCAATACACTCATGGAAGAATGGGCTCAGTTGTCCTTGAAGACTAAAGCGTCCCATGCAGATAGGAAATGCACAGATAGTTTCAAACTCATAGCTGGCACCTTCTCACAAATTTTCTGAAGACTATGCAACTGTTTTGTGAAGCAGACAGAAAGGAAGACGGACCAGGAGAAAGTCGAGCATGCTGTTCCCTCCCCAGCTCTGTTATTTGTTCCATGTTTACATGTCTAACCTTCAGGACCCAGAAGCACCTCCAGGTGTGTGCTTTTGTGGCATTTTGACTCCACAACAGGTGAGTCTGTGTTCGTCAGGCCAGTGCTACTTTCTGTTCAGTTGTATGTCTGGGAGTTAAGGACCATGAGCATGTTGTGGGCACCTACCTCCTCCTCCGTAGTCTAAATAAATGTGGTCTTACCATTCCGTGGAAATGAATTCTGCAGAGACAGAATAAAGACTTTCCATCTTTACTTTTAACTGTGTTTGCCATGAGAAGAGACAATCAAGCACTGTGTGACAGCCATATAATTGCAGCATTTTTACCTGTGTTTTGGCAAAATTATGCAAATATATCAAGAAAAAAAATTAATTTAATTTTGCAAAAATATTCTGAGATGTTTTATTAAGTAACAACAGACTGATAAGAAAGCAAAGGAAGAGGACTAATGAGGAGAACAGTTACAAAAGTCACGAAACTACACAACTGACAAATAGTCACAAATGACAGAAACTACAGAATCACAGAATATTCTGAGTTGGAAGGGACCAGAAGGATCATTGAAGGGACAGCCCCCAGAATCACAGCACGTGCCTGAGAGCATTGTCCAAATGCTTCTTGAACTCAATATTTTATTGAAATATAATTTATTCTAACATTCAAAGATACACAAACCAGAATAATATAAATTGTTTTAAAGATAGAAGATTATAAAATTAAAGATCTTTCTGAGACTAAATACTGAATAAAATTAATAAGAACTTTATTAGCTACAAGGACCTTATTGACTACACATTTTAACGAAATTTCATGACTTAACTTTTGATAGAGCCACTGTAGAATTTGTATGCTGTCCTATGAAGGAACAGGGCCAAATATCCTATCAGTTTGATTAAATTAAGGCTTCTGCAAAAATAAATCAAGTATGTATTAGAAACATATTTGAAAGAATATTGGGGAACAACATTTTAAATATTTAATTTCAAAAGGGATTTAAATGCGTAAGCTACTGCCAATTCAAAGTATTTTTTGAGTTTGAGTGTTGGAAATTTGCATGTTGAGGTGTGTGAAATTATCTTTCTACTTTTACTGGAAGTACCACTGGGGGAGTCATTTCTCATTTCTGAAACATCAGAAGTAGAATTACTATTCACTGGATTGCTTGTCTGAAATAACTCTTTTTTCCATTAAAACAAATCAGTCATAATTTATGCTTTAAGAAATACCTGATGACATACAGTACAAACAGTCTTGTCATATAACTTGTTTTATATCAGTCTCAAAAGACACTTAAAAGGAACTTCTCTTTTCTGACAAGAAGCAGCTGTCTTAGGGAATGATGAATTTACAACACAACATCTTGGCATTTAAGTTTGCTGTATTACTTCACACATTAAAATACTCAATATCAATGTAAATGGACCTCTTTCTCGGGGGGGGGTGGAAATCAAAGAAAAGAACAAGCCTTTTTCTCTTTTGATTTGCGAGTGAGATTTTTAAGTCTTCATTTTTCACAGCCTCCCTGCCTAAACCAAGTGTATGGTGTGGGAGTGTTGAAAAATGTCCCCCCAATATACTTGTATTCTCTAGTCAGTTTTCTTCTATGCAAAAATTAAATTAAATTATTTAATTGATTATTTTTAGCAAATGTATTAATCATAATTTGCAAATGGCAAATTGCATAGTGCTATTATTTAGAGACTGATTACTTGCAGCCACAGCTTGTACCTAGACCTCTGACTGCTGGTAGTGGTATGTCACATCAGTGCATGTGTGTGTATGTACCCAATAGCTTCAGAGACTCTCAGAAGAGGACAGGTGGTTCAGCAGTGAAAGGTTTAAGCCAGGAGTTGAGACCATAGAGCTTCCTGCATAATCCTGAATAAGCTGCATGAAATGAAACCAGTTTGATTGTTTAACAGGAATGACCAAGTACTTCAGTATTTCTGTAGTTGAATTTCTGCCTATGAAACTGGGCTCTTCTGAAGTCCTCATCATAGAGCATTTTGAGATGAAGTTCATTAAGGTTCTCAAAAATTGTTACTGGAGCATATGAGCATTACAAAATCAGGAAGGCTATGCTTAGGTGATATCTGGTAAATCAATAGGTGGCACACTTGTTTCTTAGGGCATATATATCCCAAGAAAATAAGATTGCTTTTCAAGTCACCATGACTATCACATTTTTTGTTTTTAAAAAAGAGTAGATTAGGAGTGACCATCATCAACTAACATAAATAACTGGGTTTTATCTAAACTGGTATTTGAAAACTGTAGATGTTATCAGAGATGTTAATGGCTGGCTGTAAGAAATGACTGAAGGAAGGGAAGGAACTGAAGATTTCACCTTTTTGACCTTACATCTAACACAGATCAGATAATTCTGCCTAAATACTTTCTAAATACAGTCT